AAAGTGTGCAACAAATCCACACTACATACCAAACAATAATGATAAAAAATAAATAAATCAAATAACAAAGTTCTGAACAACTATTCTTCCTCTCCTAACCTTCTACAACTTCAACGCCAGTTAATATAATAAGATAATTTAATATACAAGTTATGTATTATTTAACCTAATAATATATATATATATATTAAAATGATGTTACTTTATTTTTTTTAAATATAATTATTATTTTATAAAATAGTTAAGTTATAATTTTTGTATTGTTTCAAATTTAATCATATGGATTTTCTTAACAAGTTTTTTTTTAATATATACATTATAATTAATGTATAAATGAAAGATAAGAAAGTCTTCAATAAAGAGAAAACAAACAATAATGATAAATAAATTAAAAATAAAAACAAAAAATAAGCTAATAAAACTACAATTAGAACATCTTCACTATTTCAACCTTTTAATTATCCATTTAATTTAATAAAATAAGTTAATATATAAATGATATATTATTCAATTTAATATAATAATTATATATATATAATTTTAAAAAATATAATAATTATTTTATAAAATAAAATAACTTAATAATTTGATATAAACTTATTTAAATTTGAATTAATAATAACTTAAGAAAGATTGTTAAATTTAACTTAGATTATAAGTTTTTGTTGATTTAATATATTTCATTTTATGATTTTTGTTTTTTACTAACACATGCACAAATTATTTATATCATCAACCAAATAGTAAATAAGTTAAAAAAAAATTCTATTGTGAATAACTTTTTTGTCTCTTCATATTTTCAATTAACAATCCAATTTTTGATAATTTTTTTTAAAAGATATAATTATTATTTGAGTTTTCACGTAATAATTATATTAAATGTTTATACTTAGTCCAATTTAAATATTTGAGATAGTTTTCATATGTTATTAATTATTTTATATGATATTTTAGATAATTTTTATATGTCACTAATTATTTTATATAAGTTTCTAATCATTATAATTAGAGAAATAGTTAATTTTATATTACATGTATTGTATTATTAGATGATGTATATGACTCTAAAAGATTTTGATTTTGTAGGAAATCACCACTAATGTACACGAGTGCGGGAGTTTTTTTTTTTTTTTTTTTTCTCAATGAAATTTAAATAATATATAAATAATTTATTTTCACAAATGTGAAATGAGATTTAAGTTAATTATACATAAGACATTCATATCATTTAAATAATTTATATAGCATAGAACTAACAACTTTTATAAAAAACTTAATATAATAATTAGTAATAGAGGAATATTAGATAAATTATTTTAATTATATTGAATATAAATATTTATTATATACAAATTATTATTTTATAATAGACACGGACCAAGACTTATTTAACTAAATCCATTTTGGTAATGAATTAAGTGAATTATATAAAATATTAGGTTATATATTTTTTATTTAATTTCATAGGTTTCGTAAATTTTTAGACCAACTCATGGTATTTATAAAATTCAACAACTTTATATGTGATGACATCTACCAGCACATTTTAAACAAAAAGTACGGTTTGAATAATTCACTTACAAAATAACAAGCCATACACTAGGCACAATAAGAGTGAATGAAATATATATTTATAAAATAGAAATGAGAGAGGGATGGGAAAGCAAGACCTATATTATAGGCATTTTTCGTTTGTTACAGGATATTCATCTAGCTCTCTGAGAATTAATGAGGTCACAATAATAGCAACCAACATCATCCATAGTCATTCAATTTGATAATGGAACAGTAGTAACTAGCAATACACGAAAATGGAAAAGGAATAATGGTGGTGGTTGCGAAATGATGAAAACCAACACTGAATAGCTTGAGCAGAACCAACAACATTCAATTAATTTGTCAATGCTAGATAGCAACTCTAGACATCACACACCCCATCACAGTAATTCCTAACCTCAACCATTCCCACCACACTTATTTTATCTTCCATGTAAACCCCATTCATGCACACTTCATGTCAATCCCATTCCCACTCACTCATGATATCTTTTATTAATCAAAAACACCAATCTGTAAAAACATTGAGATTATCTTAAAAGATAGCATCTTCGATTGTACATTTTTCATGTTCTGATAGTCTGATTACATATTCATCTATCTATCTATCTACTAAGTGACAACATTTTTGTTAGCAGTCATGAAATGATAGATACAATTGAGACTTGTCCTTATTGTTTGTGCGAGTGTGTCAAGTGCAGGCCATGGAGTGACACATATTAGTGATTGAATAAAGGGAGTGGTCTTGGAACCATGATTTTCCCCACCCCATTCTGCAGGTGTAAGCAAGAGAAGAAAAGAGAGCATGGTATGCAGTCAAAGTTGCTGACCATCTTGGGCTTGCTGATGTTTCAGAGTCAAAGGTTCTACTAGTCTTCCCATCACTATTACCTATGAAGCTCAACAAGACCCTCCTCAATCTCCCAACCAAAATAAAATAATAAAATAAAAATACTATCATTCTGTATTTATTATTTACAAGTATGATGTGTAATTAATAATATCATATGGGAGGTACTAGTACAATGCCACATCTCATCTAACAGTATTAGTGGTATATTCTATTGTGAGTGGGTGGCAACTTAGGATAGACCAGGAGCGTCTTCTTCCCCCTCTGCCTTCCTTTTATAAAATCTTTGATGCTACCACAGACTGGAAGTGGTCCAGCCTTTCACACGTGAAGACGCTCCTCCCCTGCTATTTTATTCACGTGTGCTATCATACTTTCATCAATTCTTTTCTCACCCTCTAATTGTGGCCCCTCCTTATCATTTTTCCCTCAAATTATCCCTACTAAATAAATACACTTACAAATCCTGTAGATAGGAAAGTTTCAAATTAAGGGTAACCTCTTACTTCTCAAGCTCTATAGTCTTAGTTAAAATATGTGGCATTTTCAAGAAGAGTATTTCAGTAAATGCTTTCAATTAGGATGTGCAAAGGGGCTGTATTGAAACTCATATTGCTATAAGCTTTGGTGGTAAATGAATTATTAAATGGGATTAAATTGTTTCCATGTGCCTGCAGTATAAGCTAATTGAGGAGGAACATGCTTGCATTCTGATTATGACAATTCACTATTTATTTTGGTAGACCAGCAGTGTGATCTTATCTGGCAGTCAAAGACTGTAAAAGATGGCATTCCATCAGTTTTAATGGCATTCCAGATTTTGGATCTTGTGTCCTTTAATTTAATTTGATTCTAACATTAACTAGTTACTTATCTAACCTGCCATTCTTATTAAGAAATATATTAGGACCATAACATGTAGCCTTTGATAAAAAGATTCAATGTTTTTTTCTGCTCGTCCCTGTTGGAGCATAATAAATTCTCAAATTGACAGGGTTTTCTGATTATCTCATTAAGAAAATGCTCTACCCGACTCTTCAGAAATAAAACCGTGAAGACTTCATGACAAGTAAATAGTTTTTCCATTTTTTTTTTCTCATCTTTAAACAAATCTAGTTATGCAGAGAAAACAAAGGGATATCTGAGAACACCACGGACTGAATTCAAAGTCATCACTGTCGTGCTTACAGTGATCTAAAGCATTTCCATTGATGGCAAACGACAAAATGGTTGATTAAATGGATGGAAGAAGCTACAAAAAGAATATGTATTAATCATCTTCATGCCTATATATAATAGAGAAGAACTAGGCAACTAGCTGTTGCATTGTGTCCATACTTTACACTGATTATGAGATTTACTTTGAACTTCAAACATTGTAATTCCACTAGTATTAACAAGCAATTGTTATTTTTTTTAGCACAAGTCTATTTGTTTGTTCATATTTGTTGTGTTATCTAGGTATGAATGTGCCTATATTGGGGGAACAAACTTTTAATTTTACACTTTCTTTACTAATAAGATGTGGATTCGATGACTCATATTTGATGCTAAATGGTGATGCCTAAATGTGGACATTAAGGACTGATTTAGTACAAGAGATGTCTGAAACCAAAAAAAGGGAGACAATGAAGGCCAACAAACGAGACCATTGATAATAATGTACGATGGAACTTGGGGGACAGGTAAGGTCATAGAGCTTATGGTTTAGGGTTCATGATAATAAGACTCTTCCAAACTCAACCTACTTAAAAAGTAAGAATAAAGGTTTTTCAGCTCTTGATTTAACTTAAATATATGATGATTTTAATTTACTAAAGTTGAGTCATAAATAAAGACAGTATTCATGACAGATTTTGAAGATACACTCACTTTATAATAGCTTTTTTCATAAATTATATTTCACTCCACTTCTGTATGGATATTCTTCCACTTTAGAATGCTCATCAGAATTAATAGTAATTGCAATATACAATTGGCGAAACACAAACTACTTTACCAGATATTAAATTCAGAAACAAAATATGAGTTGAGAATTGGCATTAGCAAAATAAAAACCTAAGGATGAGAAATAAAAAAAGGCAAAAGAGGGAGGAAGCAGATACAAGGTGGAGGATGATGAAAACTAAGACCAAATGAAACCCTTTACCATCCATCACATGGGACAAAAGTGACCATCCTACAGCTGTCCTAAACTGTAGGGAAAACCAAAAGTGGGGTAGCATGTACCTTAGCAGTACCCCATAGCCTCTTAATATTGGGAAGTCTGAAATCTCCCAACATTTGGAGAGACCTTGGGATGGCCTAGTCCTTAGCCACCACACCACACTCTTCACTAGTACTAGTACTACACTCACATGTTAGTGTTAGTGTATGGAGTGTATACAAATACCCATTGTACAAACATAGTTAAACTCAAAATCTGTAACCGCTAATTAACGTCCCTATATATCTCATCTCCTTTTTTTGGCGGCACCAAAAACCGCTTCTTCCCACTCTCTCCCATCCACACTCTTTACTCAACCAAATCTCTCTCTAGATTTCGCACTATTTAGCGGCTAAATCCTAAAGCAAGTTAGTTTGAAACATTGCAATGGGGAGTTCTGCCACTTTTTCCTTGTCTAGTCTTATGTGTGAAGAAGGCGAAGCTTGCTTCTTTGAAGACCAAGATGAGAACCCTGACATTATTATTGACGCTGTTGATTACCCATGTTTCGTTTTGGAGGATGAAGAGGAATACATTGAGTATTTGTTCAGACAAGAAACGGGATTTGGATCTCAGAATCAACAATTTTTGGCCTCCGATGATCAATCAAACAGACACTGGTTGAGGAGTGCCCGTGTGGATGCCATTGGCTGGATTTTCAATGTTAGTTTTCGATGCTACTTATCATCATAAATCATGCTTTCTTTGCTTTTGTTTGTTCTACTGCTGAAACCTGAAACTATTTTTTATTTTATTTTTTATTGTTGATTAATTAATCAGACACGAGCAAAATTTGGGTTCAGAGTTGAGACGGCCTATATATCAGTGACGTACTTTGATCGGTTTCTTTCAAAGCGATCTATTGATGTAAGAATCGACAACTGCTAAATTCCAATCCTCTCTTTCAGATTCTGTTGATTTTAACTTTCCTTTTCTGTTTTGGTTAATTTCTGGAATGATACAGGAATCAAAACCTTGGGCTATTCAGTTATTATCTGTAGCATGTTTATCTCTAGCAGCAAAGATGGAAGAGCAAACTGTGCCGGTTCTATCTGATTATCCAATGGAAGAATATCGATTTGAGAACAAAGTAATTAAGAACATGGAACTGATGATTTTGAGTACCTTGGAATGGAAAATGGGATCAGCAACTCCTTTTGCCTATTTGCATTACTTTGTCGGCAAGTTCTGCCCTGGATCCAGACCACAAACAATAATCACAAAAGCCATTGAACATATTGTGGCCATGGTCAAAGGTGATTTTGGATAATGCAATTCCCTTATGAAATAGTATTATATTATTTATCAGCAACATTTATATCTAAAGATGAGTCTTGCTGTACAGATGTCAATTTGACGGATCAAAGACCATCTATAATTGCCTCGGCTGCCATATTGGCAGCTTTTGATGCTACATTAACAAGAAAAGCAATGGATCTTCGAATAAACGTAATATCATCGTGGGGAAATCTAGAAAGTGTGAGTTTATTATTTAGATTGCATTCAGAAACGTTAATTAATTGTTCTTTAACTCGTTTTATTTAGATAGAGAATAGAAAGAAATTAAATGGAACATGACATGAGAGTGACACAATTTTGATGATGATTCCTGTTTATATGCAACAGGGAAATGTGTTTTTCTGTTACAATCTAATACAGGAGAAGAGGGAAAACAAAGTTAAGACCCCTTGCTCGAATTTGATGTCTACCCAGTCGAGCTCCACGTGTGTTCTTGAGAACCCATCTGACACTTGTTCAGGAGCTAAGAGAAAACTTAGTTTTGAGGGCAGGGAAAATTGTGCGGCAAAGAAGCTATACCGGCCTTAGTTTGCTGCATCTCGCAGAGTTTGTGATAATCAACACAGGGATATTGAATGGTGTTTACTGATTGGATTATAGGATAATATTTTTTTTCAACTGAAAAATTTATTCTTGTTAGTTATAGGTCTAATGAGTGTCATCCACCATTTTGTGGAATGATTTGGCATTGATGATTGGGGTTTTTATTTCCCGGTACCCAACAAAAAGTTTCAGCTTGTGACAACAAAGAAGATAGAGAAGAAAAAGGAAGAGTAAATAAATAAACAAAAAAGTGATTATCTTTACCCTACAGTAAGTTTGAAGAAGCTGTCTGAAAATCCAGAGGTCATTGAGGTGAGGTGAGGTGAGGTGAGATGAAAAATGAGTGAAAGGCAGAAAGCTATGTTGAGGAGAGGACTACTTGTCCATAGTGAGTTAGGGTAGTGTTTGCTTTCTTGCTCTGCTCCTATTACATTTCTACTTTTTTCAACTGCATTTTTTTCTTTTCCCTTTTTTTTAGGGAATAATGTTTTTAATTAAATGTATACGATGATGGGAATAGGTAGCAACCCTAGTAGTAGTAGTACTACTAGTACCACCCTTTGATAGGGAGGTTGCTTGGGATGCTTTTTATGTCTTTAGAAAGGGTGAAAGCCGTGGGGAATGGGGAATTGGTTTTGTTTGATTTGATGTATCTGTGTAGCATTTGGGTTGGGCCATTTATAAAGCTTGTAAAAGTTGAACTTGATTATGTGTTTGCTTGGGACGCGGGAAGCTCCTTTTCAGGTGGACTGAGAAACTTTCCTTTAACCGTTACTCCTTGTACTATAATTTTATCATTCATATTACACTTACAGCCCTATAAGTGGTAAAGGATTGCGACATCCATGTAGAGCACTGCCAGTACCACTCTCTCAGTACTTGCTTAAATCATAATCAAATTCAACACAGACTAAATATATGTTATGGTTAAATTATAGTACATTGTATTAACTATCAAACTCAAAGGACACCTTGCTTATATATGCACCTTCTTTTCTTCTGATACAAGCTCATATAGCACTTTAGTCAGGTTTAATAGCTCAGAATGAATTTGATTAGAATAGATGCTATCAGATTATAAACCAAATGGGTACATAGCTTTTGATTATGGATTGAAAAAAGGTATTATATAAATTGTGCTATGTTTGCTCTTCAACTTTTGTGTGATTGTTTAATCTTTCTGTTTCAAAAAATTAAGAAATGTATTAGAATATGTTTTTGTTTTAGACTATAAAATCCTACGCGTTATATGTACAAACCATATTCTGTTAAAATGATCCAGTATATTTTCAGGATAAAATGATGGTAACAAAATTTGATTCTATTGGCATGTTTGGACGAAATGAAGTTTTGTTCTTGTTGTAATGTACATCGTAACAAAAGTGTTCTTGTCATTTTTTACTTGTTTTTTTTTTTATTTGAACAAAATCAAATTTGTCGCATTTGAGTGGAAATGGCACTGACAAAATCAACTCAAACACTCAAGGGAGAGAAAGACCGAATTCAACACTTCAAATGACAATACATGTTACGTGTAAAAATGTTGGTTTGTCTTGTTGAGTGTCGCTGGTCTCTTCATTCTTCAATTTTTCGTTTTTGGAATGCTTAACAATATTGACCATAACAAAGATTATGCACTAAGGGAAAAATGATTGTTTAATTACAGGAGATATAAAAATAGTTGTCTAGAGAGGAAGGGGCATTTAGACTTTACACCATGATTAAATATATCTTTTTTAATTTTATGTGATCAATTAAAAAGAGATGGTAAAATGAATTGACTCGGTCGGATTAATCTGATTTTCTTCGTTTCAACAAATGTTTTAGTATTTATTCACTCTTTTTTCAAGTCTTAATTTACACATATTTTATGAAAACAAAAAATTAAGATATTACGTGACACTAATCAAAACAGGTCCTATTGTTGATTTTAACATGTACTGTGCATGCATTTTGTACATTTTGATATTAATAAAGTAATTAATAGAAGTTTGTGGTTGGGGTACTCGTGGGAGGCCCAATGGGGTGAGTGGGAGGATGGTGATTGGGCTTTGAATTTTTAAAATGGCCCAATGAAGTTGAGAATTTGAAAAGGAATAGTTTCCCTCGCGAATGCCATCTTGTATGAATTGAAAATAGAGAGGTGAGTGATGGTTACAGCGAAGAAATGGAGAAGAGGCTCCGGTCTTCTCTGCAATCCTCAGCGCAAGAGTTTATATCCTTAGCCACCAAACAAAACCTCAAATCTTCAAAACTTTCGTTCAAAACCCTAATCCATTCCATTAAACCCTCCTCTCCTCCCTGCACCTCTCTCCCTTCCACCATCTCCGATTCCATCTCTGCCTCGATCCAATCCTTCCACACCCTTCTAGTGCCCAACTCAGCACCAAAATCAGAACACACCCCTCCCTCCAAGCGCCGCAGAAGATCCTCCCGCCGATCCGAACCGGAACCCGTCGACGAGAAGCATGAACTTCTCGAGCGCCTCGAAATTCTGGTCCACATTGCTCTGCTGTGCGTTTCGCACCCAAGAAAACCGTTCCAGCTCTCTGACTTGCTTCCCGGCGTTCAGGCGCTGCACGATAATTTGATCGTTTTTGAGTCGGAATTGTCTCTGTCGTCGGAGATTGAGTCTTTGTGCGAGGAATGGTGGAAGGAGAATTTGGCGGGAAGGGAGTCTCTGATTTCGCAGAGCCTTCCTTTCCTGCTGTCGCGGTCGCTCACGCTCAAGAAGAAGGTGGACGTGCACAGGGTCTGCGTGCTCCGTGAGGCCTTCGCTCTGTTTGATTTCGATGACGAGAGCATCGAGGATTTGAAGCTGTTGCTGATCAGGTGTATGATTTCGCCCTTGTATTTGAAAACGGAGGATGGGAGGCGATTTCTTGCGTTTGTCTTTTTGCTGAGCCATCAACTTGGGAAGGAACTGTTGGCGATGATTCGGTCCCAAATTCCATTCGGGAGAAAGTCGATGCTGGAGGCTTATGGGGACATTCTGTTTCGGGCGTGGAGAGCTGCGCAAGGGGACTCGAGAAGTGAGATTGAGAATGGGTTCTTGCAGGATTTGATTGAGGCTGCCATACATGCTGGGTCTGGACCTTTTGCTTCGTATATTAGGAGGCTCTTGGGAGCTTTTATTAACCAGAGGACCACCGATGGAGTTGAGAAAATGCTTTTTCGTCTCGCTGAGCCTGTCGTGTTTAGGTCTCTGCAGGTAAATGAATCATAGAGTTAAAACCACCCCCTCTCCATGTTTATTTTTTGTTGTATGTTGAATTTGAATGTTTGTTTTGCGGATAAACTATGTTGGTTTAGTAGCTAAAGGGAAAGTGTTAGGGTGGAACTGATGGGATCTTTAAAAAGTTGACAAGGTGATTTTTTGTAATGGTGTTATCTGAGTTCTCTTGTAGATGTTAGGTTTTCACATGCCTAGGACTAAGTATATACCACAGGCTGTAGCCTATGTAGTGCATGTTAGGAAACTCGTCAGAAATCTAAGAGTCCGGTCAATTGAGCCCCAAAACGTGAAAGCCATTACTATTAGCTTTAGCTAAGCGTGGAAAATCAAATTGCAGCATGCAACCAAACACTCTACGTTGTAAATAGCCAGTATGACTTTTAATATGGTTCTGGTTGGAGGGGAATGGAAGGGATGTAGTTGTACGGAAATTCCTTCCTCAAATATTGAGGGATTTGGAGTTGGGAACAAATGCTGCATGCTGTTGAATTGTGTTAAACTAAATTATCCTTAGTTTGAATATTTTTGTACTTAATGATTTTATTTGTCTATTGTGAGAGTATACTCGTAAATTATTTTATTTTCCCAACTCTCTCTTTGTTAACCAAACAAGGGGTCTCCTTCCTTTCGTTAAAGTTCTTTTCCTTTGTTCCCCTCTTTTGAACCAAACCAAATTTATGGCTGTTATACCAAATTATAATTTCCTGCTGCTCATATAAATCAAAGGGATCCTCTTAAAATTGGGTTTCTTTAAAACCATTTTGTTGGAGTTGCAATAAATTTTAATTAGTAAAAATGATATTACTGATGTATATATCACCTACATTAATTTGTCAATTTTGTCTCTTTATTCAGAGTTTTACTTAGCCTTCTTTTCAATAGGTTGCAAACTCAAATGTTCGTCAAAATGCTTTGCATCTACTTCTGGACATGTTCCCCCTTGAAGATCCCGATTCCACAAAAGAGGAGAAAGATACATTGCTTGATAAACAGTTCTTTCTGTTAGAAAGGCTACTTATGGATGATTGTCCAGGAGTGAGGGCAATTGCTGTTGAGGGTTCTTGTCGCGTCCTTCATCTGTTTTGGGAAGTTATTCCTTCACCAATCATAACAAAGATATTAACAAAAATATTTGATGATATGTCTCGTGATGTATGCACTGAGGTTAGGCTTTCAACGTTGAATGGCATCATTTATTTGCTAGGAAATCCCCACTCTCACGAAATCCTTAAGGTCCTCTTGGCAAGACTGCAGCACCTAATACTGGATAAGGCCCTGACAGTACGAGTTGCTGCAGTGGATCTCTTACTCCATCTTAAGGATGTTAGAAATTTCCAGTTCAACAAGGTACATGAGTTAAATTAGAATTGTTTAAGAAATTTCAACATCTAATGTAATTCTTAGTATCTGTTCTTCTGTCTGTTATGTAGGTGATGGAGCTAGAAGTGGTATTGTCTGCACTTGCTAGTGATCAACCTCCTGTAGCTCAGAAGATAACAAAATTACTTCTACCTTCGTACTTTCCCTCAAAAGTACCTGTTGAGGAAGCATGTAATCGCTGCATTACACTTGTAAAAAGGGCTCCAATGGCTGGCGCAAGATTTTGCAAGTTTGCCATCTTGGAAGGAGCATCTAAATCTCATCTTATGGAACTGGTTAAAGTATTCCTGAGTTTGATTTTGTCACCACATCAGCTGGAAGAAAATCAGATTGAGGGTTTCCTTGCTGCTACTAGCTATGTTTGTGATGT